CATTCCCTCTCCCTTCGCCTGGTCCCCGCTCTCCCTCACTTGGCATATGACTAACCACTCTCCCCTCACTTCTTACACTGCCAGGGTGCGAACAGTAAAGAGGGACCAGACCTCACTTGGTGGAGAGAGAGGGTAAGGGAAGGGTAGCTGATCCCTTGTGCCACCAAGAAGGCAAAGAAAAAGAGGACATTGGAAAAAAGTAGGAAAAGGACGAGATCCGAAAAAAACATAAGTTAAAGAGAGGTCAGTTTGACTCAACCATTTCCCCGACTGCATTACTATGAGAAGAGGATGGGCTGATTGAACAACAAAAAGGGAACAAAGCACAGCCAAAGGGCATGAAAAGGATAGGCATGTGGGAGGGGCCATGTGTTGACCCCCAACGGGGGACATTGTACGGATTTTCTTACTTGTGTGGGATTGTGCAGGTGAGTAATGGCTAGAAATGCCTTGAGCGGGATGAGGGCGAGAGGAACTGGGCACCAAGAGGGAAAGGGAAGAGGGACAAACGGGCTATGGGACCCTCGACGTAGAGCCAACTCATGAAAATGACTTTTGCACTTGAGACTTGAAAGTGTGATTGAAAGTGCAAACGTACCAAGGAAAATGTGATGTTGTGTGTGCATGCGTACGAGGACCCCGAAAAGACTAAGGGGCCTACTTCAATAAGGTGGGAAGCAAATTGTGAGATCCGATGGATGCGTAGAGGAGAGGGAGAGAACGGCTCCGCCGCATCCCGATGACGCCATATAGCCAAATGCTTAGGGAAATGGTGCGTGACCTAAGGATGACGCTTTGGCTACGCACAAGAAAAGAGAAATGCTCAAAGAATCCCTGGACTGTTTGCGTATTGGAAGGAGCAATTGCATGATGACACAACAAAGAATAAAAAAAATCAGCGTTGCGGGACGACCAGTGAGACTACCACCCGACGTGAGGGCTGAGCTACATCCCCAATGTCAAATCTCTCTCACGCGATGGCCCACCCTCATCCATCTCAAAGCACTAGGCGGGGGTGACCTCGGGACGAACAGCCCGTGCCCTGAGCATGAGTGTGGGCGGGCCGAGCCAACTGGGACCCGCAGTAGGGTCGACTAAGGCTCGAAAGTCTACCGGGGTTTGGCCCTAAAAAAATGGTGGAGGTGACGGGCATGGGGTTAAGTTGACCCTTGCGATTCCGATGGGGGCGTCCGACGCATTGAACGTGTATGCAACCCAAGATAAGGAAAATGAACTTATGTATGCTCTTCCCCTTGGGAGAAATCAGATTTCCCTCTCCCTGTTGTTATGTATCAAATTTGTAATTGCGGAAAATGCGGAACTGAGAAAAGGCATGCGGGGAAGGTCGTCATTGCCATGTATGAACTTAGAGCGCATAGGGAAGAGGGTTGATCTTCCTTTCCCATTTTTTTTATTTTTTTTTTTTTCCTTACAAATGCGAGGGAACTCAAAAAAGCCACGTGGGGGAAGGTCGTAATTGCCATGTATGAAGTCAGATCGCACACGGGAAGGGAGTTTATCTCCCTCTCCCTTTTTTTTTTTTTGGGTTTTTTTTTTCGGATTACGAAGATGGCATGTAACGAAACTGCAAACTGCCACGCGGGAAAAGGTCACAATCAGCACGTCTGAACTGTAATCGCACAGGGAGGGGGGTTGATCTCCCTCTCCCTTTTGTTTTGTGTCAGATTTGTAATTGCGAAAAATGCGGAACTGAAAAAGGCACGTGGGGAAGGTCGTGATTGCCATGTATGAAGTCAGATCGCACAGGGAGGGGGGTTGATCTCCCTCTCCCGTTTTTTTTTTTTTTGTTTCTCCTTACAAATGCGAGGGAACTCAAAATGGCCATGTGGGGGAAGGTCGTCATAGCCATGCATGAAGTCACATCGCACACGGGAAGCGAGTTTATCTCCCTCTCCTTTTTTTTTTTCTTTTTCTTCTCCTCACAAATGCGAGGGAACTCAAAAAAGCCTCGTGGGGGAAGGTCACCAATCCCATGTATGAAGTCAGTTCCGCACTTTTCGGATCACGAAGATGGCATGTAACGAAACTGCAAAATGCCACGTGGAAAACGGTCAGAGTCGGCACGTCCGAACCGTGATCACACAGGGAGGGGAGTCTATCTCCCTCTCCCTTTTGTTTTGTGTCAGATTTGTAATCGCGAAAAAAAAAGGCATGTGGGGAAGGTCGTGATTGCCATGTATGAAGTCAGATCGCACAGGGAGGGGGGTTGATCTCCCTCTCCCTGTTGTTTTGTATCA